CTTTGGGGGCGCCACTATGATTGATATTCTGCTCTCTGGGAGGTTGGCATATTTTAAATTTTTTGATCATATTTCCATTTTAATAATTACTTTTTATCTTTTTAGAATGATTGTTTTTTATTGATTTGCTGTTTTCGTGGTTGTCGTACACGGCCCAGAGTCGCTTTGTGTGAGATGGGCGGCTATACAACCGTGACAAACAAACAAACAAACAAACAAATAAATACGTAACCTTAGACCTAGGACGTTGACAGTTCCTGAACCTCTCTGCTTTTGCTTGCCTGTTTTATGGAAAAGCAACGTATCCAGCCACAATAACTTTATTTCCCAAACCATCTTCCCCATCTAATGCCATGGCAACTTCCTCGAGAGTTATATTCACCTGAGGTTGGACTCTTGGTTACATCAGTGAGTGGCTTTTGATTCACAAACTTTAGGTCTCCGTAAATTGCAACTTTCTCAAGGAGGCTGACAAGGGGGATGTTTGCAACTCTCCCCATTTTAAGTGGGGTGCACGGTCAAAGAGTCAGGACAATAATCTGCTGGACTGGCATTTACACTTCTCAAAGGCTAAGCGCCCTGCATGGCCATGTGTTCTCTTTTTAAACCCAGGGACACCCAGATTCCTGTACATCCCTATCTGTACTTCATATCAGTTGTAAAAATCATTTTTTTAATGGCCAAATGCTCATTTTCAACCTCTGCAACCCTATATAGCCGTGTTTCTCAACCTTGGGAACTTTAAGATATGTGTATACAGAGTCTCTGGGAGTAGGGCGGCATACACATTTAATAAATTATTAATCAATTATTATTATTATACAAGAACTTGGTTGACGGAGTTCTGGTGCTCTTTGCTTTTAAGAGCAGACCAGTGGCCCAGTTTAACCCGCTGGCTTCAGTCACTGGCTCCTCTTCAGTTGCCGGCCTGTTCTTAGTCTTCATTAGCCCAAAGAACAAGGCCTGTGGTCTGCCCGGCACGGGCACTCACCGGTAGGGAAGTGACCTGGTTCCTTGAGAGGTTGAGGGTCTCGAGTTGAGTCCACTGGTCAATGCAGAGAGACAGCTCCGGAATCTGGTTGGTGCTCAGATTCAGACGCCGCAGGTTGGACAGAGTGTAGAGACATTCTGGAACCCGGCTCAAATCGTTGCAAGAGAGATCCACGTCTGAGCAGGGCAAGGAGAGAAAGATCAAGCTGCGTCAAGAAAAGGGTTCATGGGGATGGGGTGGGGGGAAGGGTCTAACTGGTCATCCATGACAGACCACCCATGACCGGTCATCCATGACATCCCCCAATTTCAGTGCATTTCTATCTACTGTAGTAAGGAACCGTGCACCATTCTCCAAGACACTTCTCCCCATGTTCTGGAACTACAATGTCCTCAATTCTCCACCCAGCTGGAGGTTACAGGACTTGAACTCCAACGCCTCTGGAGGACGTTTAAGGGAGGAAAGGCTGGTGTAGTAAAGTGGAGCCTTAAAAGGTCTCTGGCGGGTTGTGTGATGAACCCAACTGAGTTCCTCCTGCTTTCTCTTCTGCACTGGTACCTGCCAGGTTGGCCAGGCCTTCCAAACTCGTCGGCAGGTTGCTCTGGGTCCGCTGCGTATTCCGGAGGTGGAGCGTCTGCAGCGCCGTCATGGCTGGGAGTTGCCTTCAGGTGGAAGAGCCGGGTGGGGTGGAGAAAGAACACGGGGAGAAAGACTTAGGAAGAACTACTCGGCACAGGGAAGCAAGGCGGGGCTTGTCCTTGACTCGGCATTCATCAACCTGCCTTTTCTCTGAGAGCTTCTGGGGGTGTGTGTGTTTTCCCCTTGATTTCATCCCCATGACAAAAGCTAGAGAAGCCATGGGGGGGGGGGGAGAGCAGAGTCTTCTAGCAAACACTGTGGCTGAACTTGGGTTCCCCTGCTCCCAGCCCGACCTCTTAATCATTACGGGACCTTCGATCCCCCAGGATCAGGGTGCATCTTTTAAGGCAAAATCGATTTCTCCCACTCCTGGAAGGCTAATTTTGAGTCTACACTGGGAGACCCAGTTGAGTTTTGATTTAGAGTGGGGCGCAAACAGGGTCTTAACAAGATGAGAAGATCAGCCCTTCCTTCTGCAGGGGGTGGAAGAGAATTCTCCCTTCTTCTGAACTGTCTTCTCTTTCTGGGCCAAAAGGACATGACACACACGTTTGCTGTGGTTCTGAACAAAGAAGCCAATGCTCTCCTGGGTCAGAGCAGCCCACACCCAACCCGATGGCCCCCAAATGGGTCGGGCTCCAACTCCAATAACTTCTTGGAGCCAGAGTGGCTGGGAATTCTAGGCTGTGTAGTCCTCCACCTTAGAGAAGCCTTCTCTCACTGAATCCTGAGGACGCTGAACCCAGTTTCTTGGAAGACTTTCAGAAGCTCAATCAGGGAACGTTGTTCCTTTAGGCAGGCGTTTGCTTTGTTCTTGCTGGTTCTTCACGGGGAGGGAGGCTCAGTCATAACCCCCTCTAACTCCCTCTGGAAAGGGGCACGCCTATCCTCAGCCCGAACCCTGCCCATACACCAAGTCAAGCATCTCTCCTGAACCACAGGGACTAGCCACCTTAAAATGAGCCAAGGAAAGAGACTCCTCTCCCCGACCGATGTCTTGGCTTGGAGAGAGGGCCCTCCCCCACCCAGGGGAACAAGAATGGACAAAAAACTGCAGAAGCCTCCCTCCCTGCCCCCCTTTTACCTGAGCTGGGCGTGCATGAGAGGGTTATTATTCAAAATTAAGGTCTGCAGGTGCACCAAGCGCCTCATCTGGGGGGGCAAACTCTCCAGCTTGTTGTCACTCAAATCCAGGTAAAGCAGGTCTGTCAGGTTGATGAAGAGCTGGTTGGGGATATTATCTATGCTGCAGGGGCAAAGCGGGAGTCGGGGGGGCAGAAGAGAACAGACAGACACGCCTTGTTTACGCTGTCGGGCAGGTCCTGGCTGATGCCAGCTCCTGGCCTGCTTGCGAGCAAGACGCTTCGGCAGCAAGAGGTGCAAACCGACGTTTGTTCCGTGAGGAGCCATCGGCTGTTTCTTCCCCAGAGACGCTGCCGGGGGAGAGGGCCCTCCCTCAGTGGAGGGTTTGACCCCAGGCCAGCCCACTGGCTGCTGCTTCTGCGAGGCAACGTGTCCTCGGGCTCCGTGTGCTCCACGGCTGTTTTGGTTGGCAGAAAGGGAGGGCAGGCATTTGAGATTAAAGGGAAGGGACGACCGAGTCTGCCAAGAAAATCCGCCCGACGTTTTTCAACTGCCCTCTGCGTTCTGTTTTGGGCAACTGATCATTATTGTCTGCTTTGATTTCAGCTTGGATGTCGACCAAGAAAGAAAGTGAACGCAGCGGGCACCCTCACACACCAACGGGCAATTTTCTTCTTCCACAAGAGTAGGAAAGAGAGCAATTCGTCGAGCAACACGCAGCTGCCCGTATCTCGTTTTACTGGCAGCCACTCACAAACAGAGAGCAGAAGCTGCCTTCAAACCCAAACTTTAAAGCCTAACCCTCAGCCCCACCCTGCCTGGTTGCCTGCCCGCTCCCCATGCTCTACCTGTTGTGTTTGAGGTTGAGCACAAGGATATTCTTGGCGTTCTCAAGCTCCCGAGGGCACTCGGTCAGCTGGTTGTAGCTCAGGTCCTCAAAGAAGCAGAAAGGAAGGGAAAATCAGAGGCCCCCGAAGCAGCCGTGCGCAGCGGCTCCCAAGCAGGCCACGTTTCTCAGAGACCCAAAGGGACAGGGCAGGAATAAGATGCTCGGGCAACTTAATTTAGAGCAGCGTTTCTCCAACTTGGCAACCTGAAGACACGCGGACTTCAACTCCCAGAATTCCCCAGCCAGCTGTTCCAACCCTGAGAAGCCACCACGGATCTTGCAACACAACTTGTCTTCTTAGGGTGGCCTTTCCAGTTGAACTACTTTTGCTGGCTAGGAACTCAGGGGGTCCCAGCCCCCTATGGGCAGCCCAGGTTAAAGAGGGTCTGACCTGGGAGCCCCTCAGTTCTAAGAAGACCCTCAGCCGCGAGCCGGAGCCGTCACCTACCAAGACCGAGAGGTCGTCCAGCTGGAAGATCTCGTAAGGGATCCCAGAGTTCTTCAGCGCATTAGCCCGAGCGACAATGGCCTGGGGGGCAGCAGGAGAGAGGAGAGGAGGTCAGACCACCCGGCCGCCACTCAGAGGAGCAACTGGGGGAGTGCCAGACGCAGAGGACCTACCCGCAGGCAAGGGAGGCTGGAGAATTCTCCGTGGAGGGTGGTCAGGTTGTTGTGGCTCACGGAGAGGTGCTCCTGTTGGGAAACACAAGCAGAAAAGGCCTTGGGTCTGGGGGCTGCAGCTGGTGTTGAGACGGGGTTTGGTGGGCACACTGCTGGCTGGGTTCACACCCGTTATTCACTGCTGACCAAACTAGCTGGCTTCGTGCACTGAGTCCAAATCCGGTCAAGCAGGATACGACTTGGGGCGAGGTGCGAACTGGCCTATTAGGAGAGCAGGAGGAAGGGGGGAGACTTCTTTGGAGGGAAAACCTGCCCCCTCCCAAACCTCCCTCCATCCTCCCCCACTAGTCTGGAGGACAGTTATCCTGGACATCAAAAGTCACCCTGCTTTGGCACCCGATTTGAGCCTTAAAAAAGGAAATATGGAAAGGTAAAAGGGAGTGGGGGTGGGTGGGTAATAATAATATCTCATCAAAAATACAATTTTAGCAATTCAGGGGGGGATTAAAAAAAACCCCTCCTTGGTTTCTTTGGCCCCTGTGTCTTTCCCCCTTTCCCCAGCTCCCGTCCTCCCAAAAAACGCCCACGGAGCGTCCGTCTCGGAGCGTGCAGAAAGAAACGCTGATCTCTCACCAGCTTGTGGAGGGCAGAAAGTTCCTCCGGTAAGTAGCAGAGGCCCGTCCGGTTCAGCTTCAGCCATCGTAAGCTGGTCATAGACTTCACGTGCTCTGGGAAAAAACCGCCCTGCCCGCAGGGAGAGAAATCAGAGATGCGGTGAGACTCGAAAACCGGCCGGAGACCTTCCTCGCTTCTTGGCTGACCGAAAGGGGCCAAAGCTGAGGGGGGGGGGGGGGGG